AATGATTCCGCGCAAAGGCTTTTGGGCCCACAGGCTCCGGCGCTGCAGTCAGGCTTTCCGGGACAGCCTCATCAGCTTGTTTCCCAGGCATCAAATGCATCACTCGGTCAAAGTCTTTTGAGCTCAAGGCAGCCTCTACCACACCATGCGCCAAACCCTGTTGCCCCATCTGCTCAGCAACACCCACTGCAGCCAATGCCACTGGCGCCGGCCTTGTTGCAGCTTCTTCAACAGCAGCAGCAGCAGCAACAACAACAACAACAACAGCAACAGCACCTTTACATGTCTCAAGCGCAACTCCCGCACCCGCAAGTACCACACCTTCAACAACAACAGCAACAACAGCAGCAGCAGCAGCAGGTGGCCCATCATGCGCAGCCACCTTCGTTTCCAAACCTGCACGCCCAATTCGACCTGGCACGTTTCCAGCACCAGCAGCCATCGCATCAGCACCAACAACTAGCGGCCTCGGGCATGTTGCCGCAAGTAGGCTCTGACCTGGGGATGAGCCTTGCTGGCGTGGGTGCACCTGCACAGCAACCTGGCGCGGTTCCCCCTCTCTCATTCAATACTTTGACGCACAATTCCCAAATCCCTGGTACGCACCCCAACCTGTCGATGTACGCCAACTTACACGGAGGTTTCCCACCACAAGCATCTTAGCCATCCTAGTTGAACGAAACGCTGCTCCCTTTCCCCGAGTTAAACGTCTCATTTCTAAACGATGCTTATGAAAATCCCTGTGCGCCGCGTGGGCATTTGTTCGCCCAACTTCCTGTTTCTTTCGTTCTTTTTATCTTTGTCATACCTGGACGCTTCACACCCGTGCCTGTGTCCTGGTCAGTTGTCTGTGGTTTTGCTCTGCCTGTTTAGCGTGCATCGTTGCTCCGTTCACATTTGAACGACTTGGCTCGATGGCAATCAAGACAATGACAATTGTTTCTTGCACGTGATCCCCCTTGCAAAAACCTTGAGGTACCTTGTTCAATGGCACGTACCGCGCCTGGTTTGAACGCTCATTGCATTCTGTGCACATCTCGAGCTTAGCGCCATTCACCTTCCTTTCCCTCAGCTCGCTTCTCGATTCACGTAATTGAACCCTGCCAATGAGGAAAGAATCAAAGCGTTTTTCCGTTTGCCGCCCGAACCCACCCTCCCATTTGCTCCATTGACTACATGGACGACTGATGATGGCACTGTGATTTCAAAAAGCTTGGGACTTCTCCATTGTTGCCAAAATACAGTGGAGGGCGAAGAAGAAAAGGGAAGAAATACAAAACAAAGGCGAGCGAGCGACCGGGTGGTGATGCTTGAAGCACAAGTTTAAAAGGCTCAAGTGAACACGTGTACGACTTGTGAAGAAACGAGAGAAAAAGAGATGAAGGTACACGCGCGGGTTTACGCTCGCATGCAAGTGGTCAAGATACAGCTATGGCAGCCTGTTTAATCGACCTTGATCACATCGTAGATGCGACGCACAAAGGCAAAGCAGCCCAGGAATCCAACCGTGCCAGACATGACGAAAAAGATGATTGAAGCAATGAGCGAGTAGCCAGCGTACAGCATGAGGCTGGCGTAACCCTCCACCTCCATGCGGCTAAGGGCCAAATGGAAACGGACCCATCCAGGACAAGGCAGTGAGACAAGGCCTGGATCAAGGATTTAACATGTAAACCAAAGGCCTGGAACAGGACACCCCAAACAGCTGGACACGCACCGAAAGTAAAAGATGAGCTCGTAGATGAACAGATAAATTGCCGGTGCACCGCCGGTGAGGAAGGAACGCCACCACCAGTGATAATTCTAAGAGTTGCGAGCAGAGACGACAATGCACGAGATGTGATGAGCCGCTGCCGCGAAGTGAAAGGCCGCATCGACAAGTGACTACAGCTCGAGCCTACCTCTGAGCACAGATGAAAGTAGCAGAGCAGAATAGTGCTCTCAACTGTGGTAATGACCAAGATGATGAACACCAGGAACAAAAAGCCAAACACGTAATACAGCTTATGGCCCCTACACACATGGGAAAAGCGCATGGCAAGGACACGCATACCGAGGTCAGAGAACGCACAGGGTGGACCAAATGCGCTGTTTGGCCTGCACTGTTAGCGACGCTCGTGCGGGGCAGGAGCAAACGCACCAGATGCTGTTCAAGATGAAAAAGAGTTGAATGAAAATGCAACCAAAGGGCAAGATGCCACCCATGAGCATGGCTGGGAAAAGGCGCGTGTAAGCGTTCTGCGGAGGGATCTGGCGCGGAATGGGGTTGGTGCGCACAGGCTGCTCCAAGGGTGGGCGCTTGAAACCCATGTAGGCACCAACAAAGGTCAATGGAACTGAGACAAACAGCCAGAGGCAGGAGAGCGCAACAAGGGTGCCAAAAGGCACGGCGGCGGAGGAGGCCTCGCCCCACATGACCAGATTGAGCATGAAGAAAACGGTGAAGATGAACACGGGCAAGGCCACAGCAGTCATAATGACATTGCGCTTCCACTCCTCTCCACCCATGGTTTTGTAAAGGCGTGCCGAGGCGTAGCCGGCGGGCGTGCCAAGGATGACCCACAGCGTGATCATGGCGGTCATGAGAGAGCCTCGCGTGGCTGGCGATAGGAACCCCAGGCTGGCAAAAAAGAGGGTGACGATGGCCATGGCCAGCAGTTGAACACCGTTTCCGACGAGGCAGCTCAGGTAGATGGCACCACGAGGTGGGCGGAAAACATCGCCGTGAACCAATTTCCAGCCAAACTCCTCTTGCGCCTCCTCCTTATCATCAGCATTGTTATAGCGGTTGATGTCCTTGTGCAGCGTACGGACCATGATCACGCCGAGCATGCCGGAGAGGAAGACAACGATGATGAGCGAGTTGACAATGCTAAACCAATGGATGGAGGTGGACTCGCTGGACTGGAGATATGTGTCCCAACGCGAGGCCCACTTGACATCGCTGGCCTCGAAAAAGACGCCATATGAATAAATGACGTGCAGCAACTCCTCGCCCTGAGGCGTGTTGTCCTGTGCCTCAGCCTCGACAGCACCATCAACGCTCTTCTTGGCAGCTGCATCGGCAACACTACGACTGCGTTCCTCCAGAACGTTATGGATTTTGAGCTTGTGCTTGAAGCGGTGCGAGGCGAGGTGAAAAGGTTGAGGAGGTGCGCCTGAATCGCAGTTGAGGTTGTCTATCGACTCGTGCTTGATGGAGCGGGGACGAATTTGTACGCCCACTACGCGCGAGCCCTGTCACGCATGTAAATCGTCATGATGAAGAAACGAAAAGTATAAAGAAAAGGCGACTCGATGCCGGCAATAAAGGGAAGCAAAAGCAAAAGCAAAAGCAACACAGACACACAGACACACACACAGAGGCAGAAAAGGTTGCTTGAGCAAGTGCAAAGGTATTCATGCTCACCTCAAACTCGGGCGCTTGGTGATATTTGACAATAATATCAACATGATTGTTGAGGAAAACCTCTTTGGGATACATGTTGTTGATGTTGTTGATGGTGCAAATGGTCATGCTCTTGGCGGCTTCGCCGATGGCACAGCCAACAGGGAAACCCATGCGATAGTAGGGCTGATCCTGAGGACGAGCTCCACCCCTAAGCATCACGCGAAAGGGAAGGAAAAAAAAAGCAACGTCATGATGGGGCACAGACGGTGGAACCCGACCAGAATGGATGCCATCAGTTCAGAAGGCGATTAAAATGAAGCAACACCAAATGTGTCCACCACCAGGAACGCACTTGCAATTGGCGGTACATTCAACAACAGGCATGTTGTCCATGATCCAGTGATTCATGTAGTCCTTCTTAATGGCGTTGAGAATGCGACGGTAGCTCAGGACATCCTTGCGGGCAGAAGCATTGTACGTACGCGCGCAAAGAGCACGGCAGCTCTCACCCTGCAACATCTTGATCTGAACAACGCAAATAAAAGCCATGAATACGAGCGCAGCGGTGGGTCTGGAACCAACCGTACTGCGGCACATTGTGAGAGAGAGAGAGAGAGAGAGAGAGAAAGAGAGAGAGATATTGCTACCTACCTCGTAAGGGCCCTGACGGATGCGCTCGCCGAGAATGATCTGACCAATGTTCTCAGAGACCTTGGCACCCTCGTGTGCGCCATTGCGACCGTAAGGAGTCTCCCCGGGCTCACAGAAATCAAAGCTAAAAAGAACATCCAATGAGTGAGTGAGCGGCGGTTGTCATTTGCCTTGATAAAAGCAACAGTGCCGCCTTGGCAAACTCGAGCGCCCTGACGTACAAGTAGTAGTCAAAGGGCATAACAGACTCGGTTGAGTCGAGACGGTTGACTTGCAAAGGGATCTTCTCGCCCTGCAAAGTGCCGAAGAAATGAAAGACAACCGAGACGTTGAGGGAAGGCATTGCGAGATATTCGCTGGGACGCTGGCATCTGCGGGGCGGAGCCGACTATTGAGGTCCGAAGCCGCACCTCAGCAAAGGAGCGTGGTGCTACGCCCGGCAGATAAAAGGCGTGGGCTACTGTCGCCAACAGCAGCAACATAGCCGCCAGGCGGCTGGTAGCAAAAAGCGCCATGATCTGATGCACTCAATTAGTCAAGGGTCTCTGCTGCTGGCCGTCGATCTGACGACCTTGCGAAGATATGATTGTGCGAGCCTGAAGAGTCGTGATGTGTGGTGAGGTTGCTCGAGAAGACATCCGCGAGTGCCCCTCAAATCCACACTTTGAAGGCCACGGGGGGCGTTGCAGGCATACCTTGCCGGAGAGCAGGTTCGCACACGTCGAGACTCGCTCGCTCACGGGGGGGTTGAGCGAGGCAAGAGCGCGCGAAATGAGGCTTCCTGTGAATGCGGCGGCATACAGAGTCAGTTGTCATGTGAGAAACACTGCTCACGCAGAGTTTCACATCACAGGACCTTTAAATGCCAGCCGCTCTGATCCGGCTCTTTTAACCCAAACCAGCACACACCCCTCCAACCTCTTTGCCCCTCAGCTCAGCAGTGCAGCAACCATTTTCGAGCCCGAGCAATAGGAGAAGCCAGGGAGAAGACAGGGAGAAGACAGGGAGCAGCAAGGCGGCACAACCCATGAGCTCACTCACCCAGTCAACGTTGTAGTCGAGTTGAAAAATACCAGAAAAAAAAACGTTTCTGGTTGAATGTGATGTTGGCTACCACTTGTCATTCCCACTTGCATGTGGTTGACAAGGGGTGGTTTTGCTGAAAGGCGTTGGAAGAGGGGCAGGGAGCAAGTGGTGGGTGGCAGTCAGCGGGCAACATGGATGGCAGGAGGAGGTTGCCGCTTTGCTTTGAGTGGGCTGGCCGGATGTTCTGGAGACAAGCGCAGGGCACAGGATACGTCGATGACGCGGGCTGTGATCTGGAGATCAGGCACACCTATACCCGGATACACACACACACACACACACACACACACACACCACGACGCGAGTGCTGCGTTGGCCGTTCAGAGAGAGAGAGAGAGAGAGCAAGAGCCACGCTCTTCTCAACAGCTGTTCCGAACCAGCGACCGGAATGTCAGCCAAAGGAGAATGTGTATAGATGTGCCAGCATTAAAAATGGCCTGCGCATACGTTCTTCCGCTGTCACAAGCAGTTTTCACACGAGAGAGAGAGAGAGAGAGAGAGATGTTGGTGCTGCTGCTCTCGTTCGTGTTCCTGGCCGTGCAGGCCACCCTGGTCGTTGGGCTGGCAGCATGGCTGGTGGCTTGGGTGGCTGTGCGGATCTATCGTCCCAAGGATTATGTGGCAGTGCAGCGGGACCTGGGTCAAAAGCGCACGGGTCAGCACCGGTCCACGGTGGCCTTTTTCCACCCCTTTTGCAATGCCGGGGGTGGGGGCGAGCGCGTGCTCTGGTCCGCTATCCAGGCCGTTCACCGCGTCCACCCTGACTATCATGTGCTGCTGTACTCGGGCGACACCGATGCGACGGCTGATATGATCCTTACACGTGCCGCAGAGCGATTTGGCCTCGTCATTGACGCCCGCCGCGTTACCATTGCCTTCCTGCATACGCGCAGCTATGTTGAAGCTCACCATTACCCGCACTTTACCATGCTCTTACAGAGCCTGGGCTCGCTCGTCCTTGGCCTCGAAGCAATCTGCCTCCACCGCCCGGATGTTTTCCTCGATACCATGGGTTACGCCTTTGTTCTGCCCCTCGTTCGGCTGCTTGCGGGTAGTCGAGTGGGCTGCTATGTCCACTACCCCACCATCAGCACCGACATGCTTTCCAAGGTGCGGGATCGCCGCGCCGACTTCAACAATGATGTGACCGTGGGACGCAGCCAGCTGCTCACGCAAGTCAAGCTTCTCTACTACAACATCTTTGCCCTGGCCTATGGCCTGGCTGGCGCTTTTGCAGCCGTCGTCATGACAAACTCCAGCTGGACCCACAATCACATTCGACAGCTATGGTTTGGCAGCCCCCGCCATGCGCGGGTCGTCTACCCGCCCTGCGATACCAGTGGACTCGAGCACCTCGACATTGACAGGCCCCGGGAACAGCTCATTGTCTCTGTGGCCCAATTTCGCCCTGAGAAAGACCATGCTCTGCAAATCGAAGCCTTCGCCCTCCTGCATCAACGCCGCCCTCATGTATGCCTCTGGCCGCCTGGGCACCACTGAGAAGCCCCCCATTGCGCCGCCCTGACCAGGCATTGCATATTTGATGCCATTTACCGTTGTTCGTGTGTAGGTCAAGCTTGTTCTCGTCGGTGGCTGTCGCAATGAAGGCGATGCGCGCCGCGTCGCCTCGCTTCGGGCACAGGCCACCGCGTTGGGCCTGCAGGTACGGACCTTGCGCGACACGAGCTTGTAATCGCGCACATGCTTGGCCGACCATGTGCCCCCGTCAATGATGCCTTGATCATCCCTTCTGGTGATGAACCTGGCACTGAGTAGAGCCCCGACAGCATCGATTTCCGCGTCAACGTTGACTATGCTGTGCGTAAAAGAATATGCATGATCGGCCCCCGCCTCCCTTTGTCAGCACCACCTTGCCTTCTCCTACCAAGTGCTCTTATCGACCTTCTTGACTTCCACGGATGACCCAACGCAGGAACTCAAGGACTGGCTCAGTCGAGCCATGATCGGACTGCACACCATGCGGGATGAACATTTTGGCATTGGTGTGGTTGAATTTCTGGCTGCCGGGTATGTTGCCTCCACATGGCCTGACAATGCCCTATGCTAGCTGCGGGCAGCTCTCGTGGTCTTTGGTACCCATTCATGCAACCTTTTCCGACCTTTACCTGCGTTCAGCCCCATCGCCCTCGCCCACAACTCGGCTGGACCCAAGCAAGACATTGTTATCCCATACGAGAATGAGCCCACGGGCTTTCTCGCAGAAACTGCTCAGGAGTTTGCAAACAAAATGGAAATGATATTGGACATGCCCGAGGGACAGCGGCAGCAATTGCGGGTATGTAAACGACCACCGGCTCCCAGAACATACATTAAAGTAGAGTGAAAAAGTGTCACAAAAATATTGCACCAATCATGTATCTTGTCTTGTGATGTTGTAGGCTCGTGCCCGTGCAGCTGTCAGCAACCGCTTCTCTGATGAGGCTTTTAAGGCGGCCTTTTTGGAAACCATTGCCCCCATCATGTCCGCATAATCGCCCCTTTCACAACCTTGGGCCGCTCTTCTGCATCCCGTCCCTCACCACCTCGGGCCTTGGTGCGCGCACGCGCACACCTACCCCTCTCTCTTGACACATCACCAGCTCTTTGACAGCGCCGCTGAGCGGCCATGACTCTCATCCCAGGTTGGGCCTCTCATCCTTAAAAATTCAACACAAAAAGAATCGGGTGGTTCATGTATCATTGCAATTAACCTTGGTCTACTAATATGAGGGGCCTGCTACGGCATAAGCAAGAGAGGATGGGTGCGATGCAGAGTAGACGTCGTCATCTTCATCATCGGACGATAAGGCAAAGCTCTGGAGGTCACTGGCGTCGTCATCCACTGCAGGTTTTGACAAGGAGCGCGTGTCGAATGCCACATGACAGGCGATGAGCAAGGCACCAGCGAACGTGCGAGACGACAACACGAGAACTCAGATATGTCGTACTGATGATGGGAAACTCGCGAACGCTGGTTCGACGCCGATGCTGATGCCAGGCCTACACGCACAGAGAAAGCTCGAATGAGACATGGCTACAGAAGAGTGTAAGGGCGGGGGTGAAGCTCCTTGCCTCGGCCTTCACGTACCCGCTTGATGTTGACAGGTGTGCACGTTCGCCAGAAACCACCGTTGATTCCGTATACCACCGCGTTGACAAAACCTGCAGCGGGAACCGCGTGAGCCTTTGGCCCGCCCTCCACGACTGTAGCCTACTGCGCGTGCATAATGCATTCAAATAGCCAACCTTGCATGGGCGAGGTCACCGACTGCATCAAGTACAAGACAAAGATGGGATGGCTGGTGTCCACCGCATTCTGAACCCGATTCACGATGGCAAAGATGGAGAGCAACAGATACACCGCCGGGTAAATCCTATGGGAAGGAACGATCCCAGGGCGGCATGAGCTGACCATGTCAGTGTCTTGAGGCAAACTGTGCTTCGCCTTTTGTTTAGCTTTGTTTTTGTTATTTGTTTGTTTGTTTGTTGTTGTTGTTTTTTTGTTTTTTCTTTGTGGGGGGTCGCGGGCAGCTCATTTGCACGACCAGAAGCGCGGCGGCCATGGAACGTCGGTCATCATGTGGACGTACAGCAAAGGTTGCACCTGGCGACGCAAGATGTCTCGGTCTTCCTCCAGATTGGGCGAATAGGTACCCTGCCACACGGTGAGGCTACGCTTGACTTGCCGCCGGATGATGCCGTAGGTCACGGCTACGCCCACAATCAGAATGATCATGGGGCAATCTGCTCCCCACCACAGCAAGAGAATATTTAATCAATAAAATGGAAATGAGCAAAACACGGAAACACACCGAGCGCGATTTCAAGGCGCGGCAGGAGCCACTCACACCAAATTCCAAAGCGCAAGGCAACGTGTTCCGGCTTTATCCAACACCACGCCCCTGCTGGGCCATAAGCGCCCATCAAGAGAGGAATTGCGGTTGGAATGACTGGAAACCCCCAGGCGAGCAAGTGATACCAGCTAACAGAGAAAGAAAGGCGAAATCGGGATAATGAATTGCAGAAAGGCCGAAAGCAAGAGCATCACAGGCACCTGCGTAAAGCCAAGCACGTACCGTTCGAGCCGCGTTGTATCTTGTTTGTGCACAAGATTGGCGTACACGTTGTATGTGATGACGCAGATCCAAAGAATGACCGACCAATCTACCCATGGTTTGCACCAAACAAAGAGGGATCACGTTCGTTTCAGTGCAGAGGTGAGCACGGCAGAGCAAAATGTGCGTGTGTGCGCGCGCTGGCTGCGACCAAGGGGAAGGAGAGAGGATGTGCATCAGCTCAGATTGAGTTTCACCTGTGTAGGTCATCCAGACGGCTTGTGCGGCGCAGATCATGTCATCCCGTGGATGTTCGGATGCCTGTGACATCAAGAAGGTCAAAGCGAGAGGTAATATCAACGATGCCGCCTGACACGGCGCGGTCTCGCAATTTCTGGTCTGTGGTTGGGTATGGTTGTGTGGGTGCGTCACGGACTTGAAAATAAGGAAAGCAGTCCAAGAGAGCAGCCCCGGTCAAGAACATGATCAATCGCTGCGCAAAGTTGCGATATCGCTGAAAGAGCCAAATGCTGAACAGAATGACCAAGCTGCCAAGATCAAAGGACCCGTGATCATGAGAGCACCGAAGAGCGCCCGGAGGGACACATGGCAGAAGACAGGCAAGCCGAGCCTAAACACCCAACGCACCAGCCCAATAGAGACATGGAAGCTGCTGTGATGCGCAAGGCCACGATGGTGCGCTAATGGAAGGTTCAAAAGGGTAAGTCCGATGCTAATATCAAAGGATCTGCGCGGGAGATGGACCACGTACGCAGTCATTTTCATTTGCAAAGGTGTCGCAGAGCGTCGAGTTGCCTGCCATGGCGCTCGGTTAAAGACAGAGTCAATGTTGCCCAAGCAGATGAATCACTGAGAGAGGCGTGCACGCGCAAAAAACACGCTCGCTCATGACGTGTCGCAGTGTCGTGGTCCCCTCCGGAGCCGACCGACCGAATCGAATCGACTTTCGGCAAATTCTGGGATCAAAAGCGACCCGGCCCATATACGGCACGGCGGCCACCTGATCCTTCACACCACGTGTCCCAATGCCAACACCCCTCTGTTGTGTACAGCCACGCTGGCGCATGCACCTCAACCGCTGCCCCCTCCCACGTCCCAAAAAAACCCCTTCCAACTAACTCGCACAATCGCAAAATGAAACACAAGACACACAGAGACACACACAGACACACAGACAGAGATGAGGGTGCGTGTGTGTGTGTGTGTGTGTGTTGTGTGTGTGAGAGAGAGAGAGAGAGAGAGAGAGATGAATTGGTTGAGAGAGAGAGAGAGAGAGAGAGAGAGAGAGAGGGAAGAGAGAGAAGAGCCGAAATGTCAGATAAATTGTGACTTGAGCTGTGAGACCAACATCGGTGAGGAGGGGCTGGGGTTGAAGGGGGGGGTCGGAATCATTTAGGTGCAGTGTGAAGAGGGTGGCGGGGGGGGGGGGACGAGGAAGAGGAGACAGAGTGGGAGTGAAGAGGAAGAGGAGCTGGGGGAGGGGGACTGAGTGTTGGTGTTTTGGGGCGCAGAACCACAGAGGCATGGCTACGTTGAGCCACCTCGTGATCACGCTTGTGGGTGAGCACGTGGCCGTCGAGATTCCCGAGGCTGCCTGGACAGCCCTTGAACAGCGTATGTTTGTCCCCGCCCCAACCCTATGCAGACATCCTCCAGCGTTTGATCGACTGGGACGGAAGTGATTCGACCATCAATCTCATTGAACATGCCTCCGTAGCCAACAAGGGCGCAGGTGAACAGCTTGGGCTGAGCCTAGACGCCCTGTTGACACAGCCTCTGCAGGAGCGGGCGGCCGACCCTGCCTCGTGGACCAAGGAACATGCCGAACAAATTGCCGCGTTTCGTGGCCGGGGAAAAACTGGGCGCCTTCAGGTGTGTTCTCAGAAACGCGCGCCCCAAGCAGCCAACCCAAGACCACAGACTGCAACTGTACACGCTCACCCAGCTACCCCTTGCGCGACGCCGCCTTGTTTCACGCGCCTATAACCCTCCAGTCTCTGAAATTCATACAACACATGTATGAGCGCTTGTTGCCGGCGTTGGTGGCCGAGTATGGGTCGCTAAACTGGCACCGCGATGCTGAAGCCAAAACTATCCGCTATAAACAGACTGCAGCTGGGCAATCAACGCGGCAGCTGCGGCAGGCTTTGCACCACGATCTCGGGCCCATTGTCCTCCCGCTCCTGCCCTTGTTGGAGCTCGATGATCGCTTGGCAAATCGGCGATTCATGCTGGGCCCTCGCAACGGCACCTACCTTTCGGCCACCGACGTGGCTGGCGCTGTGCTCCTGTTGGCCTACGAGCAGCATCTGCGCCAGGACGAATCTTGGCAGCATCTGCCCAATTTACGGCGCTGGGTGGACGGCCTGCTGGCCATCCTCAATGAGCGCTGTACCGGCTTACCACCCGCCCCACCGGGGGCCGCCGACAACCATCTGCGCCGTGAAGAAGGCTTGACCAAGCAAGCTCTCAAAATGGTGCCCTCGCGCGTTGACGAGGCCATGAACGTATGTCGTATGGACTGGGCCTGCAAAGGGTGTCTCTCCTGTCGCTCCAGGGCGCATGGTCATTTTTGCTGGGTCCCCGCTCATGTGCTGCGGCCAAAAATGAGCAGAGCCGAAAGACGCGCAATTCTCGGCGTCGCGGCATGGAAGCCCAATGGTTCGATCAGCTCAATGCCATGCGCAGGCCGCCCACAGAGCTGGAAAACTTGGCCGGCATCATGCAGGGGTGGGTTGCGTTTTATCCTGCTGCATTGCTTGGCCAAACCATGCTCTGTGTGGTTACGTCGCGCTGGACCGCCCACGTCATGGCCGTAACCTGCGCCTCTCACTCATGCGGTGGGGTCACGATTTAGGGAACGGACGCACCGCGACGATTCTCCTGACGCCCCATCACGTCAAGATTACTTGCTGGCTCGGCTGGACGCTGTCATGCGCCCAGACAGCGCGGTGCCGGAGCTGGACCCGGCTTGTGGTGAAGTACGCCCAGACAAGCAACTCCGGAAACGTCAACAGGTCGATAGTATCAGTCGGGCCATCTGCGGGGTCGCACGACCCGGCGATCGCGTGGTTGAATTCGGCGCGGGTGGGGGGCATCTGGGCCTCTTGCTGGCCTACGTGCTCAAAGACTGCGAGGTCTGGATCAAATTGAGCCATGCTTGGGCCATGTTGCTTTTGGCATGTGATCTTGAGCCGCATATGCGTCTCACATACTGACTGCATATCGGTTTAGATTATCTTGTTTGATCGAAATGTCTTCTCCTTGTCCCGTGCGTTGCAACGGGCAGCCCAGCTCAAGCTCACCAACGTGTCGGTGCGCAATGTTTTTCTTGCTTTGATCCATCTTGCTTGGGTTTATGCTTTTCTTTATAAGAGGCAAGGGGAGGGTGGCGCATTGTGTTTTTTTTTTTTCTCTCTTCCCGCCTGTGACCACTCCAACCTGAAATCGGTGCAATCATGTGCAGGTTTGCATCGGCGATATGGAATCCTTTGCTGAAATGGCGCTTCCTTTTGATCTGGGGGTGGGACTTCACTTTTGTGGCATGCTGACCGATCTGGCCCTCAACGCTTGCATCAGCCAGCATGCTGCCTTTGTGTTTTGTCCGTGTTGTTATGGCAAAGTACGTCAGATCCGTGCTAGAGCCGGCATTGCAATGGACCAAGCTAGCAATGCACTTGTATTTGAGTGCTTCCTGAGTCTGATGGTTGATCCTTCCGCCCATCGTGGCCAATACAGATCTCCCGCAACTTTAACAAACAAGGCGAATGCGTCATGGACTACCCCCGCTCCGAACGGTACCGAGATTTGGGCATGGACATGCATGCCTTTTCTGGCTTTGGTGTGGCTGCGGACCAAGACCCCGGCATGCTGGAGGACGGTTGCACGTACAACATGACTTCGCCCGAAGCGGCCGTGGCCGATGCGTACATGGACACAATCGACGGCGATCGCCTTTCGTTGGCAGAGGTTGGTCCAATCATCCGCCCCGCTCAAACTCGCGCTCATTTCTTGTTGCGTGTGGACCACTAAGACCCAAGGCACGATGCATGGTTCTCAGGAGGCTGGCTATTTGGTAGCACTGGGTCGGCTCAGACCCTTGGAATGCACGCCCAAGCACAACATTATCTGCGGCTCATTTCACAAAACTCAATTGGTATAGCTACCAATGCTCAGACACCTGCTTTTCCTCACATCCAGAAGCCAAAGCGAAGAGGGTGGGCAGGAGTCGGCGAAAAAAAGTGACTAAACAAGAGTGCCAATTACTTGGAGTCAATGACAACGTGACAAGCCATTGTGGTCGAATCGGGTAGGACAACACAGCCCTTGGGGCAAGGGAACAGACAAAAGACAGAGGCGAAAAAAAAAAAGGGGGGGGGGGGGAAAGGAAAAAGAAAAACAGAAGAAACGTCGTCAAAGCAAGCAAGCAAACAACCCGTCTTAACCTAGTCACATGCTGAGGGTGCTAAGCAACCGTCTTATTCACACACTCAAGCAAAAGGCTTTCAGGGCGTCGCTGCCGAAGCATTGCGCTTAGCGATGGCGGTCATAATGATCTGGATATCTGGCGCGCTGACACCAATGTCTTGCAGATCCTCCTCGGCTAAGTCCGAGAAAAATTCCAGGTCGTCATACTGAAGATGAAGCCATAATCATAACATGAGCGCAACAGTTGAGAAAAAAAAGGAGACAAACATGAAGCCAAGGCATCGCAGACGGTGGGTGTAGAAGCCTTACGCCAGCTTGGATGAAAGCGCCTGCAAGTTGCCCAAGCTGCAGCTCATGAAAGAACTGGCTCACTTGCAATTTCGCGTGCTATGGAGTTGGGGGAGACAGACAAGGCGGCGACAAAGTGCGTGCGGATTGAGAGCTGAATCCTAGGTGTAATAGCAAAGAGCCAACAGAAAAGTTGAGGCGTCAAAACCATACCTGTTTGTTGAGGTCTGAGGGCCCCGCACGCGTAGCTGGCACCATCATGGATGCTGGCCGTTTGGCACGCTCCTTTTCAGCCAGAGTAGCAGCACCCATGGGGCGTCGCTCGCTCAGCCCCATGCGGGCCCGAGGCGGAATGGCAGGTGGCCCATGCGCTGAAGCCATGCCTTCGGTAAACGTGGCGTTGTGCCGCAATGGAGCTGCTGCAGATGGGCAAGAGCGGTGAATCAGACTCTATGCTCAACATAGGTCATGGCAACACCAGACCAAGCGACCCTCATGCAATTGAAGCAGGCGTACCTCGTCGAGTACGCCGGCTGCCGTCTAGGGTGGCGTCCAGGGCATCCAAATCCTCATCGCCGGCTGCCACCAGGTCTGTTTGTCCCATGGTGCTCTTGCCCCGTGCTCCGTCCACGCACATGTGCCCGGCCAATGTGCCCTACCGAAAGTAAACGTGGAGCACGGAATGAACTGCTAAACCTGCTGAGCTTGGCAATTCGTCGCACGTGCGAAAGCATACCGTGAACTCGCCGTGGTGAGATAAATCCACCTTGAAGGGGCAGGGCTGGGCAGAAGAGCTGAACATGTTCATCAACGACAGCGATCCCTCGCCTGCACACCCGATCAGCCATCAATGCAGTCCGTTCGAAGTGAGCACACCTGCTGGAGCGTCGTCTCAGCACAACAGCACCCATGGCAGCCAAAAAAAACCAGTAACAAGAGCAAGCAAGCCGCACCATAGGATTCATCGCCATCTTCTGATTTGACAGCAATGAGCAGGTGCTCGTGCTCTAGGTAGGCACGATCAGCCACAGCGGGCACGATGCGTGGAAAGTCCGTCTGAAGCCCCGAGGACGCATGCCAGCATGAGATAGCCTCTGTATTGCCGTTGCTCGGTGGTGGCACTGATGGCTTGAGCCCAAGGCGAGCAGGTTGACAAGATGATCCTCAAGAAACTTACGCCAGCCCAAATGGGGTTCTTCGGCTCATAGTCATAATCTGAGTTGCGCACGGTCTGTTGCTTGCCTACGAAAGAATGAGAATATGAAACCCCCCACCCCCCCTCGGGTTAGCCAGGGCAATGGGACCTAAAGCTCGTACCATCAATAAAGTTGGCGTAAAATTGTAGTACAAATTTGACATTGGCGGCGGTCTTGAGCTTGGCTACGGCACTGTGAAAAAACACGGTGCAACGATTCTCGCCACTTCCCAAGGTGCTGTCAGAACAAGCAAAAGAGCGAGGATAGAGTGCGGTGCATGAGGCGTGCTGAGCCGAACGGATAGAAAGTGCCAGTCCACAGGAGCTGAAGATATCGGTTTTGACATCAAAGAAGAAGAGCCACTTTAGATGAACAGGGTCCCTGCCCTTTGTACCACCATGCCCAATAAACCACACCCTGCTGACCTTGCATGCTGATCAGTAACTTGGATATCAAAGGTGGCAAAGACCGGGCTATGATCACTGGTCATGATATCCGTCGTTGCACCATAGCTTGTCTGCCAATATGAGCACAACGCCTCGTCAGTGATTGACAAGTGGCTAAGGAAGGTCAAACACGCATTGGTGCACGAGCATGCCTACCTGTTTGATGTAGAGGTTGGGAAAGCTACGCCACATGATGCGATCTGTATAGGAGGGCACGTTGATCTTGATGCCGCTGGCCTAGAACACGCATGGCCACAACAACCTGCATTACAAAAAGGCAAAGACCCGACAGATCTGCCGCATCCAGGAAGGAGCGTCACATCCGGTTTCTCGCTGGCACACCTTTTGCTTCTCGTACTCGTACACGTCTCGTGTGCCCCGCTTGTAGCGATATGAGGGGGGAAACTCGATTGGGCCCTCCTCTGTCACAGGGATGAGGCCAGAAGACGCGCGTGAGAACAGCGATGATGAGCTGGAACATCAGGGCATGAGAGATGAGACTGACCGAATCCAAAAAACATCTTTTGTGAGCCGCGCTGCATGAGGAGCTGGTCGTATTGGCACAGGCGTGTGTACTGCTGCCTCTTGGCATCGTCAATCACCATGTTAACGGGAAGATTGATGCGGTAGTTGAGGTCGCCAAAGAAAAAGACGTGATGAAATTGATTGAGAATGTCAAAGCCAGACAGGTGCTTTTGGCCCAGTTGTAGCTTGGAAAAGATGTCCAGAGCGTTGGTGTTGCGCTTCAAAAGCTACGCGTGGTCACCCACGTGCGGAAGACGACCGTGTGAGCACGACTTGCAGTCAGCCCGAGAGCGCAAAACGACTGTTTAGTAGTCGCCTGAGACAAAATGGCAGCTGTGTACCTTTTCCGATCCGGCTGCGAGATGACTGTTGATGAAGCAGAAGGAGGTCTGGTTGACGAAAAACGCTATTCCCACCCCACCTTTGTTGCCGAGCTTATTAGCCAATCCCTGGTCAAGGTAATGGTTGCACCATTTTGAGTCACGGGGCTAAGAGAGCCTGCCTCGGCCCAACCCAGGACAGCCTGAGCGCCTGCTATCAGGAGGTACTGACCGTGGCAACGACGCTCTGTTGTAGATGGCTGACTTTGTTCATGTGCTGATCGCGCACGAAGACCACAAGTCGAATCTGCAGCAATTTTGCAAAGGCCAGTTGCTGGTAGCCGGCACCGATGTGTTGCCGCACCAGCGCCAACCAGTCCTTTTCTGCCATGCCCGCCTCTTGGCAGCCTAAGACCGAAGAATTGCGTCATGGTTGCACGAATGAGGGCGCAAAGTGATGTTCCTTCTCAAAGAAGCGGGTGGCGACCCGCCTCTTGATAGCGGGAAAAAAACAGACAAGAAGCAAAACTCAAAGGCCTACCAATAGCTAGAATGTCGTGCTCTGAATTGGATGGGAGAGCTCGACCTTGGCCTTGACAAGCGAACCAGCTACTCAGGTCGTTGGGCGCCGCCACCTGTGCATGCCATAAACACACCCAGACGAATTGAGCTTCACTTTTTGAAGGTGCCAGGCTCTGTCGCTGACGTATGTTGCACATTCGCAGGCGTTTGCAGAAGGGGATTTTCAAAAAAGATCCGTGCAAGGACATACATCACCCATGTTGAAGGTTCCAATCCAAATGCTCAGCTTGGAGTGGCGGCTATCCTCAAGTTGGTGCCCACCGTGTCGCATTTTGAGCATCCGCACTTTTTGGCAAAAGTCCTCTCGATGCTAACCCGACGTGTAAAAAGCCGTACATAACGCCCAGGCGAGGAAACAAAGGCATGAGTCGGCGGGATGCCACTTCGCAATGGGCGACTCCATCCCGAGCAGATGAAAGAAGGAAGCGTAACAAACCTGTAGATCTTCGAATATGTAATCCTTGCGTCGTTTGCCCTGGAACAAAATGGCCAAGCGCTGTTTGTTGGACCGCGACTTGATCAGTTGCACAACCTCGTCGTGACGATAGGTCTAATGGGTGATCGCAGGCCAATGTTGTCACGGTCGTATCCCGGTATTGCAACACCAGTGAGAATGAGAACCCTCTCTGTGAGAATTTGAGGCATATGGAGCCCAGGCAAGGCAAAACTTGATGCACGACCGGCCAACCTTGTTGTCCTGTGACCCGGCACTGTGGCGAGTGAGGACGACGCCTTGGTTGACATCCACAGTCAGCTCCTCGGCTTTGCCCATGACCTTTTCCACCTTGCGCACGTTGTAACTGTAGACGTTGTCATCGCGGGCGCGACCCTCCTCATAGATGAGGGCCTCTTTCTCCGAATGACGGCACGTGGAGTGGCGCAGAAACGACGTGGCCTGCGTCGCGCGGGCAAAGCCGAAGCATGTAGTAGCCGACCGTGAGAGACACTGACGTGGGCACGGGAGGTGTGTACATGTCCAGGATAGCAAGGCAAAACCTGAGTGGATGCGTCCTGCGAAATATCTCGGGCCATCTGTAGATTGTGAATGAGGTAAAGCAGCGGGTCTTCATCGGCTTTTGACTCATCCAGCTCGTGAAGTTGAAACTATAGACACGAGTGGCGGTGCAAGATAAAGCGCGGGCAAAGATGCACAGGTGAATTTGCATGGGATACGCGGATGGGGCTAACACTGAGCCACTGGAGTTGGTGGGCCTCAAGACCAGTGATAGAGCAGCACCAGACGGACCGGTTCGGCGCCAGGAAAGCCGCGTTCCTCGCTAGCGAGCTGGAAGAGATTGCGGGTGGCCTCCATACGAGTTGTGAAGCGTCGTAGCTCGGTGAGTAAGGGCTTCGCGGCTGCATGTAGCTGTTTTTGCGCAAACGCAGCAGTGATGAGTCAGGCCCGTCAAGTTCTAGGTGCAAACCAGATTGTCTGAGTGCGGAAAAAGACATACCATCTCGTTGAAACCAGGAATGCTACCCATGGACTTGATGGCGTTGCTGTCTTGACACGCGGTGCCTTGAATGTACTGTTGCAGTTGCCCCATAGCTGAGGGATCCGATCTGGGGGGGGGATCGTGCGTTAGTCGAAACAAGGGAAGCACAACGACGACTGGGCGATGAGAAGAGTAGAAAGTCACAGTGTAGGAAGCGTCAGTCAAGGATACGCACCTGGAAGTGGCATGGTTGAGGTCAAGACTGCTCTTGAGAGCTGAAATGAGGCGACAATCGCCAGTTGACTCATCATCGTCCCCGTCCTCGTCGTCGTCATCATCATCATCATCGGTGGTTGAGGCGTGTGAGGGCGTCTCTTCGTAGATGCCGGTGTTGTTGAGCTCAAGAGGGATGATGGGAGGACTGGCAAGGATATTTTCTGTTTGTAGAGCGTGGATCATGGCCCGAAGCGACGGGTATACCGCATCCACACCCTAATTGCGCAGCCAGAATCAGCCAGAATGTGTACGAGTCACCGGCGAGAGGACATGGTTGAGGGCAATCCAAAAGCAAAAGCAAAAGGCAGCGAGACATGGCCAATGTGATGTTTGGCAAGCGCACGTACGTCTACGACGACAGAGTTGTCCTCGCGAATTGTCAGGCGGTAGTGGTGCACCAAGTCGTCCTGGCTATCATCATCCATTTTCCCACCCCACGATAGAAACGGCAGCGATGAACAGGAATGAGGATCATTGCGTGTCGAGGAGTGCTCGCTCAAAGTAGTACCACAATCCATAAATGTCTCCAATTGCATGGAAGCATGGACTTACAAGACGGAGAGGACAGAGGCCCCCTGCACGCGCTCCGAGTCGCGAACGAGAAAGGTGCCCTTGGCTCGGCGACGAGTTAGCATTGTCTCCGCCACCGATCTGCAGAATTTATTGGGGTGTTTGACCCGTTTTCGACAGGAGACACAAGCCAAACAAAGGTTTAACCTCTATGAGCACTAGGGTCAGATCGACGCGAGCGCGCAGGGATGCGTACCGGCTCATGTTGGTGTAGTGCCATGCCTCTTGGCTTGTTTCAAATGCATTGTATCGAGCCATGGCGCAAGGTGACAAGGAGCCACGACACAATGCCAGAATCAGAATGAGGATGGGACAAGTGTTGATCGAATGCCTCAAGACCGGGCCAGGCCCACATTCAGGATCAGTACGGCCACGCCTATGGAACGCGGCGCAACGGCATCAGTGAGAGAAGCCGCTTGGCCTGACCTCTGCAGCGGCGTGCTGTGCATGCGTCAAGAGCTGCCCGATCCAGAGCAACCCAGAGCATGCTTCAGATGCCAAGCGCTCAGACAAGTACGAGCAGCCATGGCAATCTGATGCTGCCGATGCCACTCATTTTCAAGCCCGCTCTTCACAGCTGCGACACCCCTACGGCTGCGCCCTCGTGCTGGCCATCAACGTGCGTACCAGAAAGGGATTCTCGCACTGCATGTACACCTGCAGGTACTGCTCGTATTGATACGGCGACACCCTCCCAGCACGGGGCGTGCCCTTGTCCAAGGAAACAACTGAAGTGGAAGGGGAGAGCGGACGCCGCGCCGCGGAGATCAATCCCGATCCGAAGGAGGCGGATGCACTGAGTTTCAGCACGACCGCCCAGTTCGTTGATCAGTCACTGTTGTTTGCCAAAGCAGATGATGATGATCAACACACACACACACACGCATCTGCTCTCTCTTCCTTTCTTTCTTCTTTCAATCTCGCTCTCTCTCTCTCTCTAGTACAGTTGGCCTTTGAGAGTGTGTCTAACATTACACATCCGCTTCGCTTCTGAATGTCAGATTGTCAGATGTCAGACGGTTGATTCATTCGATGGTCCACGAGTTGGGGATCAGGATTTTTGGATTATTTTTGGCAGGCGCAGGAGCAAGAATGGCGACCGCGAAAAGCGTGACGGCAGCGGCCTTGAGCCAGCTTGGGGTGTGTCGATGGTGCTGTGCGCGATTTGACACTGTAGATAGCGAGGAAACTACGCCAGAAGACGACTTAACGGTGGAGACGGAGAGCCCTTGCGTGCTTTGTGAAAACCTATTGCCCGAGCTTCATGATGACGCCTACCTGCGCGAGCTGGCCAGTGCGGTGGGCGGCCCGGGCTACGACAGTCCCCGTCTCAACTTTAGCATCAATCTTCCCGCTGCTTTTGATGCACATCTGAGAAGCCTCACCATGGCACATTCATCCAGGTTTGTTGGAAGCAAAGCTGGGTTGCACTTGCGCCTCCTTTTCGGCTCAAATGGTTCCGTATCTGCATGCGGATCCTGATCGTGTCTGGGACTCGTGCTGTCCTTCCACCACAGCGCGGGAGTCACCATTCAAGAGAATGTGCCTCTTAAAAATGCCGTGCGGGAAGCGTTGCGACACCAACTCATGCCGCTCCTGCCCCAGTACACTTGGGGGGGTGGCCATGAGTTCCTCGTTCACCTGGTACGCTGGTCATCGCTGTGCCAAACATCATGTGCGGTTTCTCCACGGTTGCGCTCCTTCACTCAAACATCACACACTGTATTGGGATCAGACGTGGGAGACCGCCCACTCGCTGCAGTTTTACGATCGCCTGAGCAAAGTACGGCACAACTTTCGTCGGCCCAAAGCTCAAAAAGTACGTGCTCATCAACACCGCTGGGTAGCGTCGGCCTGCGAGCCACGTTGACCCCTCACCGCATGGGGACACTTTTTGTGCAGCGCTGACTCTTCTCTTCCATTCTCGTTTATTTTTCTCAGCGCGGAGTGATTCGACCCTGGACGACCAAGGATATCGACAGCCTCCTGGAGCGCATCGACATGAGCACTTACACTCGGTTGGCAAACACTATCCCCTTGCCCTTGCCCATCGCAGCATGACATCTATCGCAGTACCCCATGGCCTTCTCACATCCTTTTGTACATGTGCGCACCCATCAGCCACATGCCATGCCCCCCCAAGGCCCCAAGCAAACCCATTGCCCCGCCCGCTGTCACCTTTCAGCGCGCTCCCATTTGGATTGGCGGTATGGTCCTCATTGCGTGCGCAGCTGGTGTTTAGCAAGTGGGATTTGTCATCTTCGCGTGGCGAGGCAGGGGGCGGGGGGTTGGAGAACAACAAGCGTTGCGTTGATGGTTCGACCACTTGGTGCAGGTCGTTACATCAAGACCAGGCGAGGCATTCCCCAGAGCCCGTGGGCGGAGAAGGGTGAGGAATCAGTGGAACAAATTATCCGGGACCCCTTGCTGCCAGCCCTGCGGACGGAACCGGGCACCTTCATCTCGGCTGGTCGGGAGGTGTGTGTCCGAACGTTAGCGCATCCACCCCAATGCTATCGCGAGGCAGCAAGTCACTCACAACCCCGCTCTGGCGCGAGTAGGATGTGGACGTGCGCATGCTCGGCGAAGGGCGGCCCTTTGCCATCGGATTCACCGACGCCCTTCGTCATTACATACCGTGGGAGGAAATGTGCCGTTTGCAGGAGGAAATCAACAAGCATCCCCATGTGCGCGTGAGCGATCTTTGCATCATTCAAGCTGAAGCCAGCATCGACGCGCTCAAGGCTTCTGCTGGCAGCAAGACGAAATCCTATCAGTGTCCCATCTGGTGCTCACGCGAGCTGACAGCTGATGAAATTGTGGCCTTCAACAATAAGAAGGTCAGCTCCCCTGGCCTGTGCTCCCGCTCAGAGCGCAGCATGACACCATCCTCATGCGGTTTCGCGAGAATAGAATGTCCGAGTGTACCAACGCACACCGCTTCGAGTGCTGCACCGACGCACTGCTGCTGTACGCGAGCGCACGATTTTCCGGTTCGTGCAGACTGAAGCATTGACTCTGTGACTGTGAGATGCTTATCAACTCCACGCCTCATGGGTCTGTTTCTTTTCTGTTCCTTTTGACCGTGCTAGCTTGCAGATTCAACCCTTGGAACAAGCAAACTACTATCTGCTCAACTTGCAGACAGAATCAGGTCAGATGGCTTTTGCGAGCACGCTCGGCTTGCGAGTTGCAGTAGGCCACGAAGCGGGAAGTGATCATCACGCCCAATTCTCACCTGCAACTCGTCGGCTGCATAGGCACCTATATCAAGGAGTTTGTGCATAGCGATTTGGGACGCACAACGCCCAGCCTGGCCGACTTGCTGGGCGACTGTGAATGCGACATTCTTGCTCTTGATGTCACAGTAGGTTTTCCACGCACGGCAAGCGAGAATTTGACTGAATGATTCGGGCCGGTGCTCACCATGGCTCATGGGTTTGCTAGGATGTCGACTTTGAGTGGCCACCTCGTGCGGATTGCAAGGTAGAACCAGGATCAACAATCCCTGAAAACTCGGCCAATTGAAAGACTCTTGTATACCCATGCCAATGATACCTCTTCTGCTTGAACAAACCACTGTTGTCTTTTTGAATTTGTTTTGAGGAAAGTGGGATATGGACATGTGAACATCCAGATAATGGACACCAGAGACATCTTTTTTTTTGGTCATGGGATTCGAATTTCGATTATGTTTTTGGAATGGGGATTACATGCACAAAAGCGTCAAGCATCAAGAAAAACCATCAAGGCATCAGGATGCGACAGCTCGCACAACATTGAAGGATGCGACTAGTTAATTTAGAAGCACTTGCGGTGGACGATGGAGGGGCCAGACTCGTCGTACTCCTGCTTGGAGATCCACATCTGCTGGAAGGTGGACAGAGAGGCAAGGATGGAGCCACCAATCCAGACAGAGTACTTGCGCTCCGGGGGGGCAATGATCTTGATCTTCATGGTCGAGGGAGCCAGGGCCGTGATCTCCTTCTGCATGCGGTCGGCAATGCCGGGGAACATGGTGGTACCACCCGACAGCACAGTGTTGGCGTACAGATCCTTACGGATATCGACGTCGCACTTCATGATCGAGTTGTAAGTGGCCTCGTGGATGCCAGTCTGCTCCATGCCCAGGAAAGAGGGCTGGAAGAGCGCCTCGGGGCAGCGGAAGCGCTCGTTGCCAATGGTGATCACCTGGCCATCGGGCAGCTCGTAGCTCTTCTCCAGAGAAGAAGAAGAGGCAGCAGTCTGCATCTCCTGCTCAAAGTCAAGAGCAACGTAGCACAGCTTCTCCTTGATGTCACGCACAATCTCGCGCTCGGCGGTCGTGGTGAAAGAGTAACCGCGCTCAGTCAGAATCTTCATCAGGTAGTCGGTCAAATCGCGACCAGCCAGATCAAGACGCAGAATGGCGTGGGGCAGAGCGTAACCCTCGTAGATGGGCACGGTGTGGGTCACACCATCACCAGAGTCGAGCACGATACCGGTGGTACGGCCAGAGGCGTACAGGGAAAGCACGGCCTGGATGGCAACGTACATGGCGGGCGTGTTGAACGTCTCAAACATGATCTGGGTCATCTTTTCACGGTTGGCCTTGGGGTTGAGGGGAGCCTCAGTCAGCAGCACGGGGTGCTCCTCGGGGGCAACGCGGAGCTCGTTGTAGAAGGTGTGGTGCCAGATCTTCTCCATGTCGTCCCAGTTGGTCACGATACCGTGCTCAATGGGGTACTTGAGGGTCAGGATACCACGCTTGGACTGAGCCTCGTCACCGACGTAGCTGTCCTTCTGGCCCATGCCGACCATGACACCCTGGTGGCGGGGACGGCCGACAATCGAGGGGAAGACGGCGCGGGGTGCGTCGTCACCGGCAAAGCCGGCCTTGCACATGCCGGAGCCGTTGTCAACAACGAGGGCAGCAACTTCATCATCCATGGCGGCGGTTGTGGGGTTGAAGAGAACTGGAGATGATCAGCTTGAGTCAATCAGGAAAATGCCACTGACCAGCGCAGGCCATCCACAAGTATCCCCGCCGGTGGCGGTGGCGGGCCGGGCGAGAGGTTGGCGGTGGTAGTGGTAGTGGTTGTGGTTGTACATGTAGTCAGTCAGTCAGCAACCAAAGCAGAAATCCACTGGGCACCGCCCCCTCCCCCCATATTTGGACGTGTGCTAACTCAAGGCCAATCCCGAGAGAGAGAGAGAGATGTTGGTCCAAACGGGGATCTCATCAAACCAAGATCCAACCCAACATGAACCAACAGCTCAATCTTCGAGGTACGCAGGAGTGGACCAAGAGGAAACAAAAGAAATCGATCCACACGAGTTGATGTTGAATGGTAAGCACGAGCCTACGGAATGGCATGGGGCGGACAAAGGCTTTGGGTGATGTTCGAGAACCCGACCTGGACCGAGTTTGGACCCAAATCAAACTTGGTTCAGGATTCGACACTACTCGGGATGCAAGAAACCGAGTTTGTACCCGATAAGTACCTGCATGTCAGAATGTCAGAGGATACTGGGAAAAGAGGCTTCATGTCATTTGGTAGTTGGGCCGTTGGCACTCCCTCGTGGCCAACTTGCCTGAAGCAGTTTTCGCAAGCGCACAGACAGCGCACCTCGAGCCGTCATGCCGCCGCCACCAGCCTCAGGGTCCGCAAAGCGGCGGAAGAACCAATATGTCGGCAATGGCAAGGTCTGTTTGTTCGGATGATGAGATGATACCTCTGCCCACTGCGTTGCGCCTCTTGTTGCTGCACTTGACACCGGCCTCTCACAGCCTGACTCGTGCGGACCACACAGCGTGGCAAATATGCTGGATTGGCCCTCAAGCCCAACCTGCAAGGGTGTCTCATCACTTGCAGTCCAATGCACGAGGGCAAGGCTCTGGCAGATGCGCGCAACCTTCTCGCCGAGGTTAGGCGCGCCCGCCGCATCGACGAGCTCCTCCCCTGAGTCATGACGTTCCCGACGTCAGCTCAAATCCTTGGAAGCCAAGCTGACCACGATCGCCATTCACAACAGCTGATTGACAGCGCAACTGCTGCTGAAGCTGCCTCTTCCTCTACCACTGCCGATTCGGACACACTGACAGTCGAAGACGAGCTCAAGGCAGAGCTGGATGCCTTGCAAGCCTCCCGTCGGCCCGATGGTAAACCCTCTGGCCCAGCTGCTTCACTGCAGCAAATGCACATTGATGTCAAGGTGAGCTCCGCTTGGCGTGCTTGTGCCGGAATCGCACACTTGGCTGCTCTCACGTCTTTAGTGTTTTTTCTTTGTGCGCTAAATTTCTGAAGGGCGTCATGTTTCTGGCCCTGGAGCAAGATCCAACTCCCCTTGTCATCAAGATTGCTGAACAATGTCGCACCACGGGCGTTGCCCCCAGTCGCGTCATCGAGCGTCTTCTTCCCGTTCAGCGTACCTGTGAGGCTTCAATAGAAGCTATCTCTGCCTGTCTCAAGTCACTTCTGCCCAACACCCCGTTGGCCGTTGGTCAGCCCCCCACGACAGTGAGTTTCACCTGCTCGAGCTGGCGGCCCAACCCAGCGCTTTTCCACCTCTTGACGATTTTCTCGTGTTGCTTACCGCATGTGTGCTTGTGCAGTACGCCATTGACTTGAAGCGGCGCTTTAACCAAAAGCTGGATCGAGATGCCCTCATCCATGCCCTGGCAGCTATCGAGGAGCTCCAGCCGCACAAAGCTGGTATGTTCCCCCTTTTTTCCCAGGCCCGATTTGTGCCGGACCTCCACATCCCAAGGCAGCTATTCGCATATCTGCCTGGTTTTTCCCTTTGCCTTACCCTTCTCATCGTTGTTTCTCGTGACGTTGACTTTTCTATAGACTTAACGACTCCTAGTGTCACCGTGGTCATTGAACTGATCAAGGTCGGTGCTGACATCGCAATACTGAATTCACTCACTCAAAACAATTTATTACGGTGCTCATGGTTGACTTGATGATGCTGCGCAACCTACAGCACGTCGCGGGTGTTTCCATTTTGGCTGGCTACCGATCTACCTTTCGCCGTTACAACCTTCGTGAAATTGTGAAAGCGGTAAGCCTTGCGTTTTGTCATAACTTGCGCCAGGCTGCATGCGTGGGTGGTCTGCATGAAGGCTGTCCCTCGGGACGACTCCCACCCCTTCATCGGTGAAACCCAACGCGAAGAAAAACTGCTTGACAATCGGACGTCTGCCATCTTCCCATACGGCATATGTGTAAAGCTTGAGCGACAATCTCACCCTTTTTTTCTTTTTGGGGCGTGCTTCTTCTTCAAACCTCAGTCATTTCCCGATCAGCCGGCCAAACAGCAGGAGCCAGAAGCGCCCATTGCGGCAGATGAAGACGCATCCTAGACTGCAATTTTTTTATCTGCTCTTTTTCTATTTGCCCCACCTTCGCTGGTACCTCTTTTTTTTTTTTTTAGTGCATGTCAAATCGCAAACATCACCTCTCCTCGAGCGAAAGCATGATGGTTGGCTGTTTGACCATGTTGTTTGCACGAGTTATCATTTAAGAGACCTGTGAGCCTTTTACGTCGGCCGACGAGTGACTGCCAATCATAATTTATCTTGATGTATGAATCCAATACCAGTATCATTGCGAGCCTTTCCCCAGGGCCAATCACAAATCTCGCGTTGACCGCTCAAGGAAGGGATGAAGTCTTAGCGAGCTATCAGGTCAAGTCGAAAGAGGCATTGGCTCGTTTGTGTTTTCACTTCACACACTGACAAGAGGTAGCAGTAAACCCTAGAGTTGTCTGACATTGGATTCCATAAGCTTCCATTGACTCTCCAACGTCAACGCCCACCGCGGACCACTGCGCCTGCCGCCAGCACACACTGTCAGCGCCAGTCTCGCATTTGCTCTCCTTCTGACGAGCTTGTGCACCTTGTTTTGCTTTCGACTTCCGGTTTCCGGCTTTGTTTGCGACCGCCAATCATGACCATGCCTACGCATCCGGGCCAACTCCTCCCGTGGGCTTTTGGCCTCCGCAACCATGAGGGCTTGTACCTGACGGTCGAACCCTTTGGCAACCGCATCAACGTAAGCAGCAAGGTGATGAAGAACAAACAGATCTTTGTCTTTGAGCAACCCGATGGCGCGGGCTCGACGGTCGCCCTTCGTACGCACCAGGGTCGCTACCTCAGTGCCACCTCTGATGGACGCCTGGAGTCCACTGCTGAGAGCATTGGTGAGAATGAGCGTTTTGAACTGGTCCCGGATGATAGTGGCCGTTTTGCCCTTCTCTCCAGCGCTGGCTTTTACGTGGGTGGCCATGGAGAACACGTCGACGCCTACGGCCGCACCCTGGCTGAAGACCGTTATTTTCACTTGAACCTGGCTCTGCATCCGCAAATGAACATCTGGAATGTCAACCGAAAGACCTTTATGCACCTCAACGCGGATGGTCAGCGGGTGACCACGGACGAGGTCATTCCCTGGGGGGACGATGCGGTCATGTCGCTGCAATTTGTCGAGGAGACCAACCGCTACACCATCCAGGCAGCCAACGGCAAGTTCTTGGACCAGTCTGGCAGTCTGGTCGAAGAGGCTGGCCCGACCGCTCAGTATGGACTTCGTCTCCTCGGCGGCCAAGTGGCTTTTCAGGCCGCCAACGGTCGATTCCTGTCCAGCATTGGCGGCGACGGCGTTTGCAAGGCCACCAAACCTGGACCTCCCGGCAAGGACGAGCTGTATGTGTTCGAGGACAGCCAACCTCAGATCAAAATGACGGCTTGGTTCGGTAAGAAGGTGTCCGTGGCCGTCGGCACGGCCATCCTGGCCAGCCAATCCCAGACCGGCGATGCCGAACAGTTTCAGCTCGAGGTGGGCGATGACGGTCGTTGGGCGTTGCGCACCCACAAGAACCTGTTTTGCTACATCAATGGCAATGGCGACCTGATGGGCGACTCTGAAACCAAGACGCAGCCCGAGGCACGCTTTCAGCTCGAGTTTTTCAATGAAAAACTGGCGCTGCGTGCCAGCAATGGCGCCTACATCACGGCCAAGAAGAACGGAAGCATGGCGGCCAACGGCCACGAGCCCACAGAGGAGGCTCTGTTCGTGTACGAGATGACCAATCGCCCCCGCCTTGTCCTTCGCACCAAATACGGCTTTCTCAACATGGCAGGTGAGGAGACGGGCAACCTCATGTGCAATCGCGCCCAGCCCACCGTCTTCCACATGCACGTCAAGGCCGGCCACTGCCAGATCAAGGGCCCCAATGGTCGCTACTTTGCCCCCAGTGATGATTATTCCAAGCTGGCAGCCACTTCCGTGGAGCCCACATCCCTCTTCCTTGAGTTTGTCTCCCTTTCCAAGTTTGCTATTCGCGTCCCAGGCCCAGCTGGCGAAACAAAATACGCCAAGGTGCACCAAAACGGTGCTGTATCGGCAGATGCCACCCGCATCGACGAGTCGACCCTGTTTGAGTATTAAAACCAACGCTGCCATTTACCTCTTTTGCGTGTGAGCGAAACATCTTTACGCAGCGTGATAATTGATAGGAGCACACACACACACAAGCTCACGGTCTCGTGGCGCGGGTGGTGTCTCAAGGAAGCAACGTGTGTTGAGCGTATCCCAAGAAGACGGGACGGATCATGGGATCATAATGACTTGTAACACCAGAATTGGGTGGGGCGCCTGATAAACATTGAATTTTTACATCAAGCGGAATACCGATGGCCCGGCCATGCCACGACATTCAAATGGTGCCGCCACAGCCGTACCAAAAAGCCACACTGGGGCTTTTACTTGTAAAAGGTGTGTTCGTCCTCGTCTTTGTGGATCACATTCTTGTAGGCTATTGAAACGAAAACAAAAGGCATAAGGCGAAATGAGAGCCAAGCCTTGATTGTCTCCGGAAGTTAGGTTAGAGGCACCTGCCAGGGAAAGAGAGAATTCGATTATGGTTTTTCGTATCATCAAAGAGTGGCGTACCTTCTTCAAAGTCCTTGGACAAGATCACATAGCGATTCTTGCGCACAGCCAACATGCCAGCCTCCTACACATGCCGCGATTGCAGACAGGGAGGCATGAGGAATAGGCATGGCGATGTCAAACGTGACGAAAGAGAGCAGAGTCAACATGGAAAAAAATGTCGCCATACCTGACAAATGGAGGAGATGTCAGCGCCAGAGATCTTGTCGGGACGAGCCACAAAATCCTCGAGATCGACCTCGTCGGACAGATTCATTTTGCTTGTAACAGTGTTGAAGACCAAGCGCTTTTGGCGACGGTCTAGAAAGCCATTATGGGTGAGCTATAAACTAAGACGGACTAGGAGGGGGAGGGAGGTCTTCTTCTTCTTCTTCTTCTTCTTCTTCTTCTTCTTCTTCTTCTTCTTCTTCTTCTTCTTCTTCTTCTTCTTCTTCTTCTTCTTCTTCTTCTTCTTCTCTCTCTCTCTCTCTCTCTCTCTCTCTCTTTCTGCAAGGAAAAAAAAAAATTGCACTGACCAGGCAGAGGAAACTCAATCTTGCGATCAAGGCGGCCCGGTCGCAGAAGCGCAGGATCCAAGGTGTCCGCACGGTTGGTGGCCATGATAACTTTCACGTTGACAGTCTGGTCGAAACCATCCATTTGGTTGAGCAGTTCGAGCAAAATTCGCTGCACCTCACGATCGGCTACAATCCCCCCCCCCACCAATTTTCAACATAATTCCAGTGAGGTGAGCCGCTAGCAAATGCAGTGGGTTGGCTGACTTGTAGTGCCTTGGCACAAACCCACAACGAACGACGTACCGCCGGTTTGTGCATCGAAACGCTTGGTGGCGATGGCATCGATCTCATCGATGAAGATGATTGCAGGTGAGTTTTCCTGCGACATCATACTTGCGCGTGAGATGGCCCATACACTTGTTGCACCGATGAACTTCAGCGGCGGCAAACGGCGCTGTTGGCGTACCTTGGCCAGACGGAAGACGTCGCGGACCATACGAGGGCCTTCGCCGAGGTACTTTTGAACAAACTCCGAGCCGACCACGCTGTGTGTGGATATCAAGTCAGCATGACGACGGGCAAGAGAGCCAGCGGCAGCTTTAAAATCCGGTTGATGCAATCAGGGAACAGGGCTGCAAAGACGAACCGAATGAAGGCTGCTGTAGTGTGGTGAGCCACGGCTTTGGCCAGCATGGTTTTACCACATCCCGGAGGACCGTACATCAGCACACCTCGAGGCGGGTCAATACCAATCTAAGGGCATTTAAACATGAGCAAGGGTCGTTTACACCGTGGGACGCAGTCCGAAGCAGAGTTCTCGGGTCACGGAACAAGAAGCGTCAAGGTCACCTGCTGGTAGAGTTCAAAGTGTGTCAAAGGCAGCTCGACGGCTTCGCGCATTTCCTGCTTTTGGGTGTCCATGCCTCCAATATCGGCATACTAAAGCGATCCAAATCAGCAAGCCCAGGCAAGCCAATCGTGAGTATCGTGGCCATCTAGCTTGAGTCGACACCAGGCGAAATCCAACTGGTACAGGCAGACGAGTTGCACGGCTTACTGAAACGTCAGGCTTCTCGTCGGCTGTCATCATTGCAATACTGCTGTCAGCCTCGGGCGGCAGAATGTCCACAAGCGCGTTGGAGTGCTATTTCCAAGAAAAATGATGCCAGGCCGACGGGGCATTGAATGACAGCCATACGCCAACTTTTTTTGGGAAAAAAAGGCGGGGGGAAGAGGGGGGGGGGGGGGATAAAACAAAAAGAGGCCTTCCTGGTGCTTGTTCGGACAACGTCGCACGTGAGCCACTGCCTCTTACCTTGTGCAGGGCAACAGAGGCACTTGGCTTGAGCAGCTCACGATCCAACGTGCTGAGGATGCGAACGTAGTAGTTGGACCCGGTAGTAGATCCAATGATGCCTAAGCGTGGGCCAGAGGCCAAAAGTGAGACTCGAAAAACCGGGCATATCATCTATACCTGGCCTACTTTTGGTACTGATGGTGTTTGACATACCGCTGGTCTCGTCAATGGCCTCCAAAAATTGACCAATCACCAGCGGGACGGACTGGATACGCTTGACCTCCTCCTACAAGAAGTACCAAACCAGAATTGAGCCTTTAAATATAAAAAAGCCTGCAATAAAGACTCGGTGATGCTGTTGCGCGCTTTAAACATAAACTCACCTGGGCCCGAAGGTATTCACGCTTCAAATTGCGCATCTCGTCCTGTCACCACGAGCCGGTAACGATGAGCCAAAGTTATGCACGTCACATAAGACATTAAGACAAGCCAACAAGGACCCGGCCAAGATGCGCCGCCGGCCAAGCCCCCCCAGAAAAGCCTTTGCAGCTCTTGAAGGAGCACATGATGCACGAAAATAACAGCAAACCAGCTCTCCTGACACACAACCGCATAATGGGGTCACACCTTGATGTAGTCTTCCTGGACCTGTAGAAACTCCAGCTCACGCTGGAGCTTCTTGTAGGTCAGATACAAGTCTTCTTCGGGCTAGCGACATCCAAACGTGAACGAAAGACACTGAATGAGCCACTGTCGGGGCCGTCGGCCACGTCAGATGCATGGCACAGGGCTCCTTTCATCGGTCGTACCTCTGAGACGGAAGCCACGGGCTTTGTTGCCTTGGGCACGGAGATACCAATTTCCTCCATGGCAATCGTTTGTATTGGATGTCACACAACGCCAACAGCTCCTCCAGCTTCCCTTTCCTCGAGTTCGGAACTTGCCGCTGCCGTTTCACACGCTTGCTCTCAGTCGTCAAACAGAGAGAGAGAGAGAAATACAACAAAGAACACCAAGGCCACTGAACTGTACCCCATTGTCACACTTTGATGTTGTGTGTTATTTTGCTTTCCCCCTCCATTTTGACCTCAACAATTTTAAAAAAAAAAAAAAAAAAAAAGGCATTTGACCATCAAAGACGTTTTTGACAGTGAATTGGGTTGCCGCGAGAGGCTGTTGGGAAAAAGAAGAGGAAGGCAGCCCACTGGCCACAGGCGTATGCAACCAAGATGACATGCGCAGTGCCTTACACAGAGCCGGTGATGCGGGCGTTGGACTTGATGATGGGAGCATATTCGGGGACCCACATCATCTCCTTGATAAAGCGCGTCCTGCAGTTGATATCAAAGAGGCAACAGACCACGCACCCAAAACGTGCATGAGCAAGGGGCACCAGTATTCCACGCAACGACGAGCTGGGGTAGGATAGCGAGAGAGCCACAAAGCACTCCGTGGCGCGCCTACCAGTCGCGATCTTGAGGGGAACGTCGAGCAATGCCATCTTCTTGCGCCGTGGCAGCCACGGCCACAGCAATACGCAGGGACACTTCGCGAATTTCCGAAATGCGCGGGAAAACCTTGTGCAAGTATGGGCCCCAAAAAACATGGCAAGGTGAGAAGCCCATTTGCACAAGCAACGACTTTTTGCGAACAGCGCACAAGACAGAACCCAAGCATATATGTACCTTGCCAATGCGCAGATCCTCCTCGCTCACACAATCTGCCAGACGCCGGGCCGCCACATAGAGCATGTGGTCCGTCACCGTCGTGGCTTGCGCCGCCACAATGCCAAGCCCCAACCCGGGGAAGATGTACATGTTGTTCTACGTGACACACAAGGTCGGTCAGACAGGATCACACCCACATGCAGCTCTACGTGATCCCAGGCACCGCCCTTTCAAACACCCAACGCCAACATGTGCAAGAAAAAGGCCTGAACCGCAACCATCCATGGTATGCACACAACGAACCGCCTGCGAGAGCTGATGGGTCACTTCCTGCCCCTTGCTGGGCGAGTGACGCGTGACCGGCCCAAAGGGCGACCCAGAGGCAAAGGTTACACGGCCATCGGTCCACTCAAACACCTACACCCCCGCCGTTTGCCACAACACGATGAGCATTCAACTTTTGACCTCAAACCCAGCGACGGCTTCAGATACCGACCTGCTCGGCTGTGCACTCGCTCAAATTCGTGGGGTTGGACATGGCAAAAATACTGAGACCGCACAGCAGAAGAGCGGTGAGCATATCCGTCCGCGTAAGTTGACCGTGCATCGTCGGCTTGTGTTTTGGCAACCACCGTTGCCACGAGAAGCCCACACCCTCCAACTTACACGGGGTGCTCAACATGCGTGGCCATGGATTTGACAACCTCTTCCGTAAACAGGCCGCCAACGCCGGACAGGCCCAGAAGAATCGTCGGCCTGCATCCAGGACGAAAGCATGGCATTTGTCCGTCAACTGCGCGTCCCGTGTTGCCCCTCTCCGACATGACGCGCCCAGTTTATGCCCGAAAAAAAAAGTGCCCAAAGGCACACAAACACCGACAACGTACTGCACGCCATCCACCACCTCCTTGAGGCTTGCGCCATCCAAGTCCAGACTGGGACTCTACATCACATGCCACCATGACTTTGACATACGCACAGAACGAACGAGCTGAAATTGCCAGCCCTCACCAAGACCTCACGTACATCATAGCGTGCAAAAGGAATTTGACCTTGCGCCAGCTTGTCCATGCGTCGTGCTGTCAGCAAGCCCTGCACCCAAAAAAACGGCAAACAAGATCGTCAAACAATGAAAAGGGCTGCAGCACCCACCCAAGTACGGCACGGATGGGATAGCAGCAGCTATTGATAACCCACATTCTCATCAACGAGCCAGAACCGATTCAGCGCCTCCTGCCGACTCAGCCCTTGACGTTCCATAGCTGCCCGTGCATCAATACCAGGCGTGCCATAGCGAATTTCACATTAAAAGTCATGAGACGGTCGAGCGCGACAAGGTGATGTGCCTTTGAACGAGCCCGCACGAGATGAGGGGCTTGAGCGCACCGTCTGAGATCATATTGCAAACACCCAACCCGGCCGATCCGGCACCCACACACACGATCTTGGCTCGCGTCAAGTCCTCCTGCAATATGACAAAAATTCGACGCGCCCATTGAGCTATGCGGCCGCGGGCGAGCGATAAAAAGGACTGCCGTTGGCTGTGATGGTAGCATCGACCCAAGATGCAGCTGCTTACCCCGTTGCGGCGCAACGCGGCCAGCAGACCCGCCAAGGCCACAGCGCCCGTGCCTACGATTGTGCACGACAAGATAATTCATCAAACGTGCATACGATGCGCTACACCTCGCCACGTGGTTGAGGAAAACGGATGCAGGTTGCACCTTGCATGTCGTCGTTGAAGCAGGTGTGGATGTTTCGATAGCGGTTCAGCAGCTGCTCTGCCTTGGGCGTTTTGAAATCCTATCGGCCCACGCCCAGCAATGAACCAGTGTACATCGTGCTCGACCATGAGCAAATACACAGAGCATACACATACCTCGAATTGTACAAGTGCGCGCGGGAAGCGAGAGGAGACGGCCTGCATAAACTCGTCCATCAGTTCGAAATACTCGGGGCCTTCAGTGCGGCGCTGGCGAAGACCCATGTAGAATGGGTCGTCGAGCAGCTTCTGATTATTGGTTCCAACATCGATCATCACTGCGTGCCATGTTGCAGATGAGTGAGGAAAGGCGTCAAGTCTTGAACGCGAATGGAGTGCTTGGATCATGATTTGGCATACCAGGAAGGCATCTGCTGGGCTCAATGCCGCCTGCCGCTACGTACAAAGCCAGCTTGCCTGGAATACGTGAGAGTGCCAGCAGCACAAATGACGTGAGCCACGGTGTTGCGAGTGGCACAAAGGCTGGAACACTGGCGCCCAGCGAACCGCTACAGCCTTACCAATAGGGATGCCCATGCCTTGAACACCGAGATCGCCCAGACCAAGGATACGCGAGCCATCTGTCACGACCACGACGTCCACGTCGTTGCGAGGCCAGTTCTGAGAGACGCGATGACGCGGAATGAACGTTGCACGGTGGGGTCTGTTAGCAACACCTTCGAGCGCGGGGTCCGTTCACGGCTGCATTGAGCTTGCCACGCACCTGAATGATGGCGTGCATGTCTCCTCGATCGGCAGCAGTAAAGTACATGCCACGAGCACGGCGGAATAGCGTCGAGGCGTTTTGGCAGGCATAGCCAACCTATGTAGCCGCCACCCTGGTGTCAGAGATGGCGCCTCGCACGATTTTGGGGGTGGAAAGGATGGAATGTCCAGGCAGGGTAAACGAGCAAATCGATCACGCACCGTGGGAGTGTAGATGATCGGGGCCATTTCCTCAATGCGTGAGGTCAGAAGCTTGAAGAAAAGTGTTTCGTTTCGGTCCTGTATGGTGCATCGGCAGCATGGTGGTGGAGCATCGGCTTGAGTCCTCTGAGCGCGGGTGTGGACCATCCGTGCTGTCATCTGGGTTTTGCGTCACCACACCTGAAGGGACATGAGGAAGAGGTGCTTGGCAACGACATCCTCTTCGCGTCCGCGCTCTTTGTCTTCTTCGCTGGTATGACCAGCCCTGATAACAAAGCATGGGCCCACCCAACGCGATGGGTGACGGGGCATCGTGAGTGGTGTCAGCAGCCACGTTCGTGCGCAAGCGCAAGAAACGAAGCCAGAAGATGCGAGTGCCGTCGTGAATTGCAGGACAGGTACATGTGATGAATGCGAGGTGACGTACGCGTGAAAGGCCCTGTAGATGCGCGCAACTTGTTGTTCGATGGTATTGATGACGGGTGGCACAAGGCCGCGGAGACCCAGGCGATCCTTTTCACGCTCGGAAAAGGCCGTGCCCTATGGGTTTCGACCAAAAAAAAATGAACGGTGTCAAGTCAAAGGGGTCCGAGAACGTGTTTCGATAATGGTGCAAGGAGCATTCATCACGCCCAATGTCAGCGTTACCTTGTTGTAGAAGGGGTCATGCTGAATTTCCGCGCCTGTGCGCTCAGGAATCACGACGGGCTTGATTCTCCGCAGAGTCTGTGGGCGCCTCGTGTCGAGTGATGAGATGAAAGAAATGGTGTGTCGAGCAGAGTCGTGCACAGCTTGACTGCCTGCGCAGGGCACGAGAGCTGGGACGCCAGAATGCGGTGATGACGGAACATACCGCTTTGGGCCCACTGTCCTCGCGCGTTCCGCCAAAGGTGGTGTAGCGACGATGCGAGGTGGAAACGGAGCAGGTCCACACTGCCTGCACCAGCCTCTCCGAGGCACCAGGACGGGCAGCACGCAACAGCTCCATCACGACCTTTGCCCTTGCTTTGTAAACTGGTGTTGATTTGAGAAGTTGGCGCAACCGTGCCCCCCTCCCGCGAAGATGCCGATGTCCGGGCTTGCTGAGCGAGCCGTGCGTGTCTCGGCCAACCCCTGAAACGCGCCAGCCATGGGGTGTGTGTCGTGAGCATGCCTAGTCGGCAAAATGGGGGATGGTGCCTCGGGCAATCACGACAAGCACGCGTGTCTTTCAACGCTTGCCATCCCTGTCCTCGAGCAACGTCCGGTGCACCCACTCGGGCATACCAACAACAGCTGGTGCAGAAAGAACAGGCAGACAGGACCGGCAGATGACCAGACAAAGGTGGCCAAGAAAAAGCCAGCAGCATGCAGCACACGCCTCACCCACCACTACACAGAGACGGAGACCACCGCCATCAATCCACCCGCCACACACGCGGTTGCTGGCCGTCTATCTGCCAGCTGTTGCTACTCACCCGACTTGACTTTGCCAAAAATTATCAAACTTGCGTGTGTGTGCGTGTGTGTGTGTGTGTGTGAACGCTTTGATGGCTTTGTTACACTTTGAAAAAGTGTGTGTGTGTGTGTGTGTGTGTGTGTGTGTGTGTGTGTGTGTGTGTGTGTGTGTGTGTGTGTGTGTGTGTGTGTGTGTGGACAGGGACATGTACATGTAATGATTGTGTAATCAGCCAACTTGCTCGCTGCCGTTCGAGCAGAGTGGTGTTGGTTGGTTGGTTGATCATGTGATCATCTGCATTCGACCATGGCGAGGATGAGCCCGGGTTTTTGGTTCGCTTACCTCGGGTAGAGCTGAGTGTAACCCTTGCGGCTCACATTGATAAGAGGATTGGGCCGTGTGATTCAAGCCGATAATACGCGAGAGTCGTCTTTGACAGACGACAATGCGCTGACTCGACTCGACTCAATGACTTCTGGAGCCCGACTTTTGAGCGCACAATGCGGCAGTTGTTGTTTCGCTTTCACGCAGACACAAGCGTAAAGCCGTATTCGGTGGTCCAAGTTACCCGCACAGGGCACACTTTTCATAGGTAAAGAACAGGCAGTCAAAAAATGGCAAGGAGTGGGAAAACCATGTTTCCGCAACTGAGGAAACATTTGCGCAAAAAAAAGCAGAAAAAAATCGATGAATATTCAACGAAAATCATCGCAAAATTGCCATCGCCGGGAGGCAAGTGCAGGCAGAGCCAAAAATGCCATTTTGAGTCGAGAAAAACTTGCTTTTCCAAGCAAGGACAAGAGATGGCTCTTTAAGGGTCAGCTTAAAATTACGTGAAAAAAAGAATTTGGAAGATATCCGACGAGGGACGGCCAGCACCCACGCCTCTCAGTCAAAGCCAGACGGATACACGCTGCCCGACCGGTGCTCGGTCTGGGGAAGCAACCAAGGCAAATACTTTTGAAACACGCCAACACGTTCAGACAACAACTCAGTCACACACCACCGACATGCAAATGCACAGCCGGGTAGACAAAACACATTCTTCGCTAAGTGAAACTCGCTTGACCAGAGTTGGACCAACTGCTGTGTGTC